TATTTAGGGCCCCCACGGGCATGGGGGGGTTTATTAGTTTTTTTATTTTTATTTTTTTTACAGTGAGCAGCTATAAGCTGCTCACTGCTTACTACACATGCCCCTACTCGCGATATAGCGAGTAGGGGCATATTATTTACTAATACTAAGTAATCTTTACTTAGTATTAGTAAAGTTGGCTGAAAGGCCAATTTAGGTCTTTCAGTCTTTTAGTAGATAGCTCCTTGATACCGTGGGAATTAGGGAGTTATCTACTAAGCGGCTGCAAAATGCAGCCACAGCAATGAATAGGATCAGAGTTTAATTCATTAGAATGAAATTCCGATCCGAATAAAGTGCCGAATTGCGTTCTAAAAGAAACGAACATACTGTTCTCATTCAGTTAGAACGCAATTCGGCAGTTTTGTGGAAAGTGACAGGAAGCATTGTGGGAACACAGAGGGAAGGTAAGGATCATGGGAAAATTGCTCTGACCAGCGGAAATGAAGCACACTTTGCTCCTCCGCTGGTCAGAGCTAGTCAAGCGGAGGAATCCTCCATAAGGCAAAGAGTCCCTTCTTTGTCTTATGATTTTAAAGAAAACTAAAGAAGACAGGAAGAAAAGAATAACAGATCCTGAGAGAGGGGGAGAAGAGGAAGAGATTGAGGAAAGGTAAGTTCGGCATGACAGTGCCGCTTTAAAGAAGCACACTGCAAATCAATCTGTTACTCACAAGACATTAAACAAAAATCCCAAATCAGTGCAATAATTTAAATCAGTGAATACAGCTTGGTGTAAGTAGCACTGCCAGTGGCTGGGCACAGCAGTAATTTAACCACCTCACCAGTCCCACAATAGGTCAATAGCGCATCTCCCACACAGGCTCAGCAGAGGTAAAATAACCATAATCAATATTGCTTTTAAAAGGCAAAGACTTCCACTAAAATAGCTATCTGAAAATGGTTACTGAATGTTTAGTAAGTGTAATAAATAATGCCATGCATTTGTATTATATGTGGTATCGCTGGCTGCCATTGCAGCCTGCAAAGACTCTCTGTGGTGTACTTTGTATGTTCATATATAACCTTCTCCTCCCACAGCCTGGCTACTAGAAAATAGCCATGTAGTTTGATCTGCAAAAGTTATAGTATTTCAGTGTATACAGTTGGTGCCATTTTCAATTTCACATTAGAGATGCAGAGGGATAGAATTTGTTCCTGAACTTGCTTTTCCTTTACTTCCAGCTGAAGTAAAGGAAAACTGCTTAAAACTAATCGGATAGTGAGCACAACCACAACCCTATTATTACCGTATGAATATACGTGTGTGCAATTCGGTCCCAGCCATTGCAGGGAAGGAGAGAGAGAGAGAGAGAGAGAGAGAGAGAGAGAGAGAGAGAGAGAGAGAGAGAGAGAGAGAGAGAGAGAGAGAGAGAGAGAAAAAAAAATACCAGAGTATTGCAGTATGCAATGATATATTTTTTTTTATTGGACTAACATAATATTTCAAAGACAAACTTTCAAGAGTTTTCCTTTCTTCCTCCGGTCTGAAGCAATACAGGTGGATCTGTATTGCTTCAGACCTGAGGAAGAGAGGAAAACTCTCGAAAGCTTGTCTTTGAAATATTATGTTAGTCCAATAAAAAAAGGTAGCATTGCATACTGCAATACTCTGGTATTTTGGCATCTTGTCTACAGGACTAATACAGCTAATCCAATCTACACTATATATACATCCAAAGTATAATAAAATAAACTCCATAGCCCTTTAGAGGCCTGACACAGTTAATCTAAATAATGAAAGGTGTGATGGTTACAGAAATGTGCTTGTTAGAACCACACTCTGACGGATAACATTTCTCTCTGCCCACTTGAGCCAGCTTGCTCTGTCTCTAGGTAAAACTATAATCATGTCTAAATATTGACCCGTATTAGCCTGCTGTGATAATATATGCACTTGACACAGATGTCCACCAGATAAAGTGCTCTGCCTCAAGACTCATAGTGTAAATGAGTTTGTAAATGTATCTGGCTTCTACAACAGTATACAGGGACCCCCAAAATGTTGATCACTAGTTCCTGCACAACCACAACTCCCACAATGCTTTCCAGCCTTAAACAGTATCTGTAGCTGTCAATACAAGTTTATATTAAATAAAAGTACAGCGTTGTGTAAGCTAAAACGATTACCGAAGGTCAATGTTAGAGAAGGAAGTATATAATTAAAATCTCCTAAAGCAATTAAAGGAAAACCATCATTTCTAATTATAATTGAAAATAAAAGATTCTGGGCTTGTTTGCAATGGTGTTGGTAATTTTTATCGACCAGCCTTTACTTGCTAAAGTAGCTGGTGTTACACTAAAGGCATTCACCTTTGTTGAAATGAAGTGGTCTGGTTGTGGTGCCCCTGTCTTTTGAAGCCTGCAATGTAAAACATTGCCATCCTTTAGGAATGACAATGTTTATATTACAGGGTTAACACACCTGTTTGTCAGGAAGAGACCCACTAGAGGCTCTTCCTTTGCTGCAACTGAGTAAAACGTATAGAACTTATGCTGCTAATACAGCAGTATTTGATTGGCACAGTGCAGTCTCCCAATGTATCTTAATGGGGAAGCACTGGATTGGCTGAGATCATCAACATTGATTAACTTAGCGAAAAAGGCATAGTGGCATGAAGGAGAGCATCATGGCAAGGACGGAAAGGCATTTAATAGCCACCTTTCAAACCCTCACGTCAGCAGGGAGGCACCTACATTGCTATATAAGTCTCAGGACACTGTAGCAATAGGATTACATGTTAGTATTAATATCACTATAGTGTTCCTTTATTGCATTATAATCTTGGTTTTTCCCGAGCGGCGTGGAGGAGCAGTTCCTGGCATGCCGCTGAGCAGATAAGCTCAGTATGCTGGCGTGGTCGTGCCGCTTGAGGCACAGACGCGCATCGCGGCGAGCCGGGAGCTGTGACAACAAGAGAACACTCCAGCAGGTCTGTTCATGGATGGGGACGGGAGCTCAAGCAATATTAACTGGGGCTGAAGAACTGGGTGAATAAACTAGGGATATATTACTGGGGAAGGGCAGGAAGAGCTGTAGCTCCAGGCCCAGACCCAGTAGGAGTTACTTTTTAGGCCCAGTTACTTTTTTTTTTTTTTAACACACTACTCTTAGGGTTGTCACCTGGCCAGTATTTATTAATGTATTTATTTGAGGCTGCCTGTCCGATGCCGATATTGCAGTAATACTGGCAATACAAATGCCAGTATTTTTCTCAGTATAAGATTTATCAGCTGGGAGCACTAGATACAAAGTTAGTGTGTTTTGTTTGTATTATTTTACCTACGTTTTCCTGGGTGCATTCTAGAGGATGTATTTTCCTATAGGAATAGTTCAGTTCCATTGTCAATTCTCCCAGATTATCTAAATATAATGAAAAACCCTGGTTGTCTTGAGCCATCCATGAGCTTTACATCCCTTCATTCCTATGTTACAACAAAATGCCTAGGAAGTACAGCTTTTATAGCTTGGTTATTCTCAAAAGCCCAAAATTGGTTTAACCCCTTAAGGACCAAACTTCTGGAATAAAAGGGAATCATGACACGTCACACATGTCATGTGTCCTTAAGGGGTTAAATGTATCTAGATATCATTACTCTGTTTGGACATGTATTTCAATCTCCAAGGAGTTTATTTGACATATTCTGAGTACTAGTGTCTTGCCAACAAAGCTGTAAAATGTAAATTAAAAACAGGCAAGATTGTAAATTAACAAAGCACATTCTAAATTTGACCACTTGATTGTGAACACAACCCTTCCGCAGCTCACTGTTAAGTTAATCTGCCACCTGCCTTCTAGAAGAATTGGTATTAAGGTGTAATTCTCTTACAGTGGTTTCTGCTTGCTCCAAGCAGTGCTAATTTTCCCACTGAGACCATAGATGCTTTCTCTGGCCCTATTTATAGCTCTTTCGAGGCGAATGCAAAATTTGCAACTGTGCATCTTCTTGTTTTGATGAGTTGGTATTCTACGGAGCATTTTCTGTGTACTGGGTATTCTTCACCTGCATAAGCATGTGGGGGGTAGTGAGGGTGTGGGGGGTAGTGAGGGTGGTGTGGGGGTGGTGAGGCTGAGGGTGGGTGGGGGGTAGTGAGGCTGAGGGTGTGGGGGATAGTGAGGCTGAGGGTGGTGTGGGGAGGCAGTGAGGGGGGTAGTGAGGCTGGGGGTGGTGAGTGCTGAGGGTGGTAGTGAGGCTGAGGGTGTGGGGGGTAGTGGAGGCTGAGGGTGTGGGGGGTAGTGGGGTGGGGGGGATAGTGGGCTGAGGGTAGTGGGAGGCCGAGTGTGTTGAGGTTTGGGGTGGTGAGGCTGAGGTGTCACAAAATATGGGCAGTGAGGCTGGGGGTGATGCTGAGGGTGGTGTGGGGGGTAGTGAGGCTGATGGTGTGGGGGGATAGTGGGGCTGAGGGTGTGGGGGGTAGTGAGGCTGAGGGTGGTGGGGGGTAGTGAGGCTGGGGTGGTGAGGCTGAGGGTGGTGTGGGGGTTAGGTGGGGGCTGAGGGTGTGGGGGGCAGTGAGGCTGGGGGGTGGTGATGCTGAGGGTGGTGTGGGGGGGGTAGTGAGGCTGAGGGTGTGGGGGATAGTGGGGCTGAGGGTGTGGGGGTAGTGAGGCTGGGGGTGGTGATGCTGAGGGTGGTGTGGGGGGTAGTGAGGCTGAGGGTGTGGGGGATAGTGGGGCTGAGGGTGTGGGGGTAGTGAGGCTGAGGGTGGTGTGGGGGGTAGTGAGGCTGGGGGTGGTGAGGCTGAGGGTGGTGTGGGGGTTAGTGAGGCTGAGTGTGTGGGGGGTAGTGAGGTCAGAGAGATCAGATGAGTCCTTCAGGACTGTAGTGGACACTGAATACACTAGCCTAGCTATCAATTTCCCTATCAAATCAGCAGCAGCTACACTGTCCCTCCTCTCACTAAGAATGCAGCTTCACAATGAATGTAAAATGGATGCTGTCCAGGAGGGTCTGCTGCTGATTGGCTGGAATGTGTCTGCTGACTGTAGAGGGTCAAAGTTTACTCAATGATGACGAATAGGGGGCGGACCGAACAGTGCATATGTTTGCCGTCCGTGGCGAACAAGCGATGTTCGCCTGGAACTATTCGCCAGCGAACCGTCCGGGACATCACTAACTGGAATACATACTCTGTCGTGCAAGCCAGTAATACAGTTATGGATGATATGAAAGGCAATAATGAGTATAATTTTACAAGATATGTCATAACAATGGTACTAATGATGGGAAAAAAAATAATAAAACAGAAGTTTCAGTTCACAATCATAAAAGAAAAACAAATGAAAAGCAAATGTGATCTTTTTTCATGGTCATATGTTTGTTACTGTTAGCAGTATTCGTTGGTCATCGGATAGCACTACTGAAGCCAAATATAGCCAAAACTAATTTTTGAAGTTTTACAGAGGAGTCTTAAAATACTTAGCTGAAGGTTCCCATATTTTAGAAAATTTTTGAAAAAACATTTCCAGTCTAGTTTAGGCCTGAGTGGGATGAGTAAAAGGTGGAATTCCTAACTGAGGAATGTAAAATGCGTCAGCAATCCACAAGTTGGTGGGAGTGTTCATGTAGACGTTAATGGATCATAGTGATTTCATTTATTTTTAGATGTGTGTCACAGGTTACCTTAGTTGGGAGTCCGGTAGGCAGAGATTTATGCTCACCCCTTGCAATTAAACACAGGCCAAGGTGGTCGGGTAAGAATTCACCTGGCCTGTGAGTCTGTGCACGGGGGCTGTGCAGGATGTTGCTCCAAGTCGCAGTACAGGTAAGGACACAAGCAGGAGAATCGTCAAGAGTAAGCCAAAGTCAGGGGATGCCAGAAATCAGGATACACAATGCGAATAAGCCAAGGTCAGGAGCCAGGAATAAACGATCTGGAAACTCAAAAACAGGAATTGGACAGCATAACCAGAGTCAATGAACTGACACTGCTCTCAGGGAGAGGCAGTGTCTTTTACCTGTCTAATTAGGCATCCTATACAGGTGGACCATGATTGACAGGAGCAGTCACAGGGAAATTCCAACCCCCAGTGCTGGATACGAGGCAAGATTAGACTTCAGGTTATTACATGAGCTGTATGGTGGCTCAGAGGAGAAACAGCAGGCCCAGGACAGCAAATTACCCAGGTTCATATCCTTTATTGGGCACTTCTGGGGCGACCTCGTCTGGATGTTGTGGTGAGAACCGTGACAATGTGCTATCCAGTGCAGGTCCATCATATTATTAAAATCTCCACCAAATATTCTAATGCCCTCTCCAAAAACATTCAGCCTTCAAAGCACCTGTTTTGAAAAAAAAAGACAAAACATTGATTATTATTATTATTATTGCCATTTATATAGCGCCAACAGATTCCGTAGCGCTTTACGATATTATGGTAAAATCTTCACAATTAGTGCAACTAAAATAAATAGACTTCAAAATAGATTCACTTATTAGTCCGCACATCATGGTTAATTTTCAGATCATGTGTCCCCCTGCTGTAAAGATCCCAGATTTATATTCCTGCTACTGCCCTCAAGTAGAGCAATAAATTATCAGCTAGATCTTTGCCAGATTTTTGTGAAGTTATAAATTACAGACATCCCAGTTTAAATGGTTTATTCACTAATGTGAGAATTTAAAGCGAATTTCAAATTCAAGGTAAAAATAACCAAACTGCACAAATTCTCTGTAAGCTATGCAGTGGCGTACTAAGGAGGGGGCGGGGGGGGGCGGTCCGCCCCGGGTGCCAGTCGGGTGGGGGGTGCCATGACCAGCCCCCCGCCCCCCCCCCCCATGCTGCAGCCGCCCGAGCGCTCTGTAGTGAGCCTCAGGCGGCTGCAGCTTTGCCCGGGCGGTGCGTCCATGAGGGCGGACCGCACCGCCCGGGCGCAGCCTGAGGAGAGGGGCTGACAGGAGGGGAAGGCCAGCGCATCCTCTCAATAAGCTTGTTAGCTGCGGGTCGAAGCCCTGTAGCATTGATAGTCCTGGCTGGCACAGAGTGCTGTCTGGTACCTCGGGCCGTGAAAGTGAACACTCAGTGTGCATCTTCCTGTGCCAGTCCGGCCGGGTACAGAGACAGATGCTCCCCGTACCCCGACTATACAGGCCCGGCCACGCTACAGCAAAGGTAGTGGGGGGGGAGAAAAAGGAGAGGGGGGGTGAGAAAAGGAGGGGGGTGAAAGAGGAGGGGGGTTAAAAAGAGGAGAGAGGGGCGAAAAGGAGAGAGGGGGGCGAGGAGAAAGGGGGGGTGAAAGAGGAGCAGGTGAAAAGAGGAGAAAGGGGGGGCAAAGAGGAGAAAGGGGTGAAAAAAGAGGAGAAAAGGGGGTGAGAAAGGAGGAGGGGTGAGAAAGGAGAGGGGGTGAGAAAGGGGGTGAGAAAGGAGGTGAGAAAGAGAAAGGAGGGGAGAAAGAGAAAGGAGAGGGGTGAGAAAAGGAGAGGGGGGGGTGGGAGGAGAAATTAGGAGGGGGGGGAAGAGAAATTAGGAGGAGGAGAGATATTAGGAGGGGGAGAGAAATTGAAATTAGGAGGGGGGAAGAGAAATTGAAATTAGGAGGGGGAAGAGATATTAGGAGGGGGGAAAGAGAAATTAGGGGGAGAGAAATTAGGAGGGGGTGAGAAAGAGAAATTGGGAGGAGGAGAAGGAAATTGGAGCGGGAGGAGAGATTGACATTCATCACATACACACAATGCACCCCTTGCACACAGAAAAACACACAATGCATTACACACACAGACACACATACACAAGCAATGCAACCGTTACACACAATGCATCCCTTACACACACAGAAACACACAATGCATTCATTACACACACTCAATGCACCCCTTACACACATTCAATGCATCCCATACATACACAGAAACACACCTTGCAGCCCTTACACATACAAACACAATTTCACACAATGCATTCCTTACACACATATCAGGACATCCCCTACACACTCCACCCCCTGTGAACAAACTCATTGGTGGAACATGAAGGTGGTCCCTGGGACCCAGACCTTGAGCTGTGTAAAGGACCCAAAAAAAATGGAGCTGCTTCCCGTTCTCCCAGAACATTGATTTTTGTGACCACAGTTGCAAACCGCCTCCAGAGAGCCTGTTCTGCACCACACCAGTGGAGCCAGACTGCAGCTAGAGCTCATCTGGTTGTAAGTAGGCAATCTAGTATATTATTCGTGGCACTAAGCTCTAATTTACCTCACATTAAAGAAACACTATAGTCCCAGAACCACTTCAGCTTAATGTAGTGGTTCTGGTGTCTATAGCCTGTCCCTGCAGGCCTTTTAATGTAAACACGGCGGCACTGCAGCACTGGCGTTAGTTAACATGGCAAATCATATGGGTGGGGCATTGTGATGTCACATGGGGGCGGCAAACTTTACTTTTGCCTAGGGCGGCAAAAATCCTTGCACCGGCCCTGGCTGGAGGGGGCTGTGTGAGCTGTGGCCGCACAGTGTCCCATGGTAGTTAGGGTGCCGCACGGAGGAAAATGTGTGATGTGTGATGTGTGACTGTCTGCCTGTAACTGAGTGTGTGACTGTCTGTCTGTAACTGAGTGTGTGACTGTCTGCCTGTAAATGTGTGTGTGGGGCTGCAGGGATTTTGTAGAAGGGGGCGGGGGTTTTGTATTGGGACAGGAGTCTTTATAAGGGGGGATAAGCAGGGGATTTGTGGAAGGGGGTTGCGGGGGTTTTGTAGACGGGGCAGTACAGGATTTGTAGAAGGGGCAGGACAGAGGTTTTGTAGGAGGGGCAGGGCAGGACAAGGGTTTTGTAGGAGGGGCTGACAGCGGTTTTGCAAAGTTTACAAATTGTAAAAAAAAAGAAAGAAAACCTTTAAATTTTTTACAGGTTTTTTGGGGTGCCAAGCACAGGATCCGCCCCGGGTGCCAAATGCTCTAGGTACGCCCCTGAAGCTATGCTTTCACTTTGGCCATTTTAGCCTTAAATTTAATATTCACTTTGAATTCTCACTAGTGAATAAACCTGTTAGTTTTCAAATGTCCAAATTTCATACATTGATTTAATGTGCCCATGTCACTTTTGAGTCAAAATAATAGCCCCCACCTTACCATCATCAATGCATTTGATTTTGTAAAAGAACACAATTTGAGCTTTTTAACATGGAATATTTTGAGTGTTTTCACTTGGCCAGTTCATCACCAATTTTTACCAAAAAAATGTTATTTTTGTATTGACATTAAATGGTGATTATTACAGGTCTTGTGTGTTCTACTACTTCATAGATCCTAGACGTGTATTCTACTGGATCTCCCAAGTACCCCATCTATAAATTTTCTAACTTATACATATTTTTTGTGTTTGTAGCACAAAGGATACTATATGGATTTTATCCCTTGAGGAAGTCTTGTTTATGGAAAATGTAGGCTAGATGCACGCGCTGGGGAAAACTTGACACTGTAGCAGAGCTCCTGTACTCTGACCAAGTACCTCCGCCTAGTTTGCTTCCAAGCCACTTGATAGGACCCTGGAGCACTTCAACCCCATTTTCCAAGACTTGACTGGGGTCTCTCTGGAGCTTTTCCACCCAACCAGGCTCCAGCTCCTCTTCCAGGCAGGTATTGTCTCTTTTCTATTCCTCTGCAGCCCTCCTTCCAGGTAGGTATAGCCCCCTCTGCCTTTTCCGCTGCAGCTTTCCTTCCTGGCAGGTATGCCCCTCTACCTTTAATGTGATAGCTTTTGTCTTTATAGAGACACTTGCGGCTTTCAGACCAAACATCCTCATCACCTGCTGTCAAATAAACTGATTGTCCATGCTTTTCTACCCACTAGGATATTAGCTACTGATTGTCAACCGTGTCCTCCAACCATACACAGCTCACTTATTACACTTGCACATGATGGATGCTCTTTCCCCATCCCAAAATTCTCTCTGTCTAACTTTCCCATAATGATCTGCTGTTTTGCTGCAACATTGTGCACCACCACCCCAGTCTACCCTTGAATGAAAGATGTACAGGGTAATTCACTAAAGTGACAATTCAAGGTCAATTTAGAGTTAATTTCAAATTTAAGGTTAAAGTAGTCGAAGTGGAAAAATTCTCCAAGTCAACTATTCTTTCCGTTCGGTTACTTTGGCCTTAAATTTGAATTCACTTAAATTCAATGTAACCTTCGCTTGCTACACTTTTGTTTACACCCTTATTTCTCCTGGCAAGATTTGCAGCTCCTCATTGCAAACACTCCGTTCTGTTCATTCTCTTCTATCGCAGCTTGCTTACTGCTTCTTAATGCACCCCCTATCCTTTCTCTGCATCCTTTTCCATGCTGGTCAGGCACACAACACTGCCTCCTTTCCTCTCATTATCCCTAATTACTGTGCTCTGTCTGGATCAGCCGTCACAAGCGATTCTTCAGAATGCTGAGTTTTTCTTCCAAAGGCTGGTGCCAGCTATTTCTAAACCCGCTGACCCCACACAAGCTGCCAAGACAATCGATGGAGTCAGGTTTACCTAAAGATTTGCTGCTTTCCGAAGTAGGAAATTGTATGCAGTGCTTATTCCATTAAGAGACAGAAGGGCTAGGCATCCTTCAGTTAACTTCTTAAAGCTTTACTCCTCTTCCCCCGTGAAATGAAAATTAAATCTACTTGTTAAAACTGTTTACTGAGAGGTGTGTCAGCATTAAATCCTGACTTCTCGAGCAGCAATAAAAAAAAAAAAAAAAAAAAATTGAAGCGTCTGTCTGCACACAAGCCAAACTTTCATGCTTGATACAAGCGATTGACTTGTAATTAAATATTCATCCTTTCTGAAGAATTCGCTTAGTGAGGTTAAGTATACAAAGTATAA